TACTGACGTTTCGGATGTTAATCCTCCGACGAAGGATTAACATCCGAAACGTCAGTAAGTTTTTCCACATACTTTTTACGGTGTTAAATTTATCTTTTTACATAACTGTGATCAAATCAATACATACATTAAATCAATCAATCAAAAAAACAGCAAGCAACCAAGCAGCAAGCCACCAACCAACAATCCCTCCCTCCCTCTCTCCATCCCTCTGTCCATCGATTTTGTCAATCAATATATCAATCAATCAAACAAACAAAGAATAAAGAATGCATCAATCCAAAAATAATCATATAATCAACCAATCAATCGATCAATCGGTCAATCGATCAATAATTCACATGACCGATCAATACAGCGAAATTATAAGGGAAAAGTAAAACCCTTACCGTTTTCAATTCCATTTTTCAGCATGAAAAAAGATAAGAAAACGTGAAAAGGTTTTCGTGGTCTTCTCGAATAAACTTCTATTGCAGTTGTGCCAATGGAGCCAATTGTCACTGAATGTTTCGAGCCACATAATTTGGCTTTCAAATTTCCTCCGCCATCGATAATTGTTATATAGAAGTCCCTATGTAAAACAAATGAATACTTTTAGTGATATATAAACCCACAGCATGTCGAGAAAAATACCCCTCATTAGTCTAAACGCATAACAGATTTGACGTAGAATACCCCATTTCGAATTTAAAGCGAAAAAAAAACAGTGCTTCATTTGATAACAGATTCTCTTGCTCAAAACCTTACCAAACACAAAATGTCGTGGTTACAATAGGCTTGAAAATCTATATTTTCCGGTAATTGAGACTAACCCTGTATTCCTATAAAACCTATCATGTCTACTTAGCTAAGTCGTCTGGGAATACAGGGTTAGCCTCAACTCGGGGGAAATTTAAATTGTTACCTATATTGTACTTACAGCATTTTCTCGTGCTTTCTTTTGTGTTTGGCAAGGTCTTTGCACAATAAAATCTGCTGTCAAATAAAGCGAAAATGGAGTATTAAAAGTTCCTTACTTGCAACCTAAGGATAGCGGTATCTCAATCGACTTCAATATCAGTAGGAACAGTGTATTTTGGGTTGGAGTCTTCAATTTCCAGAAGCAGATTTTATTCCATGCGTAGACATGTGGAAGGTATATCTTCCCATGCAACTGGTTCTCTATGGTACCTCCACATTCTGGTATTGAATGTTAAAATAACAAATGTAAGAAACGTTAGTAAGATCTAAAAATTTGCAGCGATTGATATTTTAGTGCTGATGGAAAATGAAGAAATGATCGATCAATAACACATTTAATTTTACATTGTCCATCTGATGATTAAAGAAATCTGTAATGTTTCCGTTAACTACAAAACATTGTCCTCTAAACCAGGCCATACTAATGGGGAATTGAGACAAAAAAGAGCAAAAATGGAATAAAAATTAGACATTTTCAATAAAACATTAAACATTTTTATGTACAAAATAAACTTACTTGTAGAGAAGTCATAATAGCTGCTTGGTCCTGATCCAATTGCAGTGTAGCCTCTAACTCTCACTTCGTATTCGTTAGCAGGGGAAAGATCCTTGAAGGCTATAGAGGTGTTATTTGTTTTTATTTCTCCCCTATATCTGCGACTGAAATAACTGTAGAGATCTACTATATACCCGAGAAGAACACCATGGACATCTTTTCTGGGGATTTGTTGCCACTGAAAAACTGCAGTATTTGATGTGATCTCAGTGGAAGTAAGTCCTGGAGGATCAGACCTTGGAACTAGAGAATAGAACCAACAAAATGTAAAATACATGCAATGAAACATCAATTGTGACTACACGCGCTCGCCAGGAAGATTTAAAAAACATGCAAAATAAAATCAAGCCGCCAATGGCAACACAACTCGAAGATTGATTGTGCAGACGAATACAGAAAGATATAATGATGAATTAAATTATAATT